TAAATAATAATATATATATATATATATATATATATAATAAATAAATAAATAATAAATAAATAATAATATATATATATATATATATATATATATATACAGTATCTATAAATTAAATGTTTTAAATTGGTTAAACTTTACACTTTATCACAGCATGCACAAACCGTATAACAGTGCAGCATTGTGGATTAAATAAAACGATCTAAATCTAAATCTAAATCTATCGAATTATAATCACGATTCACTAAGGATTTTTACCACACACATCATTGAGGAACTTCAGTAAATTAACGGGTAACTTTCTTTCAATTAAATGTATAATTATTTACATCATATGAATAGGTATGAACAAAAACCGGCGTCTTATAACTCTGGCGGAGAAATACACTGATGCAGACAGAATAACCCGATATTTTCCACATTGTACAAAGTCAAGGACGGGCCAGGCTACAACGGATACGGAAAACCCGCGATAGACTGAGAGGCAATACTACCGTGGAAATAGAGATTCATAGTGAGCAACTTACATTATATATACATCAGAAGTAGATAATAGAGAATTAGATCAAAGTTCCCTATTATGTACTCCTGATGTTATCAAGAGTACCTCAATAGAAACTCATTTCCTATATTGATGAACGTACGCATAGGCGCGTACGCATGCACACATCCTGTTCCCGCTCACAATCGCGTGTGCACGCGAATAGAGACGGTAATAATCACCTCTTTCGTTGGTAGCTGCATTATTACATATCGTCAAGGAGAGGGCCGCACGGAAGCCATAGATACACATGGCGCACATTCCACCAAAGGGGCGGAAATTCAATGTATGCAAAGCAGTCTGACCAGCCGTTGACGAGAGCGAATGAGGTGGCTGTCTTATTAACCATCCCAGTAGAACAGGAGAAACACTATATGGGTCAGAGATGCTACCGTACTATATAGGGCACATATATACAGAGGGACGAGAAAACATGTCTGTCAATTACATCCACTGAGAGATAATAACAGGTGCTGTCCACCACCTGATGATACACACGCACGCACACACACACGCACACACGCACGCGCGCGCACGCACAGGCGCACGCACACACGCATGCACGCACGCACGCACGCAAGCACGCACGCACGCACACACACACACACACACACACACACACACACACACACGTATACACACATACACGTACACACACGCACGTACGTACACACACATATACATGTGTATATATACCTATATAATTATAAAGAGAAATAGTGAGAGAGAGCGCGCAAGAGAGAGAGAGGAGAGAGCAAGAAAGAGACAGAGGGGACGGGGCAAGAGGAAGGCGGGTAGCAAGCCAAGCGGACGTTATGAACACGCCAATAATAATAAGTATAGTGCGCACTGGGGTCACTATAATTTACATCGACTCCCGCGTTCCGCATTATTAGTTTGCCTCGACAACCTCACAGCGCAAAGCTGGTGTAGAGTGTAGTACTACGAAGATGGTTCAATAACCGACGAAGTGTTGTGTGGTTCGCAATAACCAAAACCGACGGGAATGCCACATAAGTTGCTGAAGCAAACGTGGACACTTTTTGCTCTCTTGGACTCTTGTCGAATTTGCTGTTGTGTTCATCGACTTTTAGTCATACGTAAGAGACCACTTGGCTTTCCATGACGAGGTACGTGACAGTGAGCCCTTCAGAAGACACTACGTCAGTGATACGGTTTACCATTTTCAACCATGCTCACTTGCATGAAACTATACTCGTTGGTTTCGTGGCATATTGTTGGAGGAGTGAAGGAAGGCTGAGGAGAAGGAGAAAGTAGGTACATTATGCATGAGGCGAGAGGAAGTAGAGGAGGGAGAGAAGGTTTTGAAGAATGACAAAGTTGTAAGTGAGGAGGAGGAGGAGGAGGAGTATGAGTAGGAGCAGGAGTAGGAGGAGTATAGGAGGATATGTAATGATGGTAGAAGGGGGTGGTGGATGTGCAGTCGTGCAGGGGAATTACTGAGATGGGTATAGTAGAGTAGGAAGTCGAGAAGGTAGAGGATGAGGAGGCCGGAGGAGGAAGAGAAGGATGATAATGATGATGGTGATAATGATGGTGATGATAATGATGATGATGATGGTGATGATGACGACGATGATGATGATGATGATAAGAGAGAAAGAAGCGAGAGGGAGAGACAGAGAGAGAGAGAGAGAAGAGATGAGAGAAGAGGAGAGAAGCGAGAGAGACACAGAAAGAGGAGCAGGAGGAGAGGAGAGAGAGAGAGCAGAACAGCGAGAGAGAAAGAGAGAGAGGAGAGAGAGAGAGAGAA